GTATGTATATGTGTATGTACATGTATTGTACAAGTATATGTATGTGAGTGTAATTATGTATATGACGTAATGCTATTATGTAGGTGCATGTATAGGTGCATGTGTTGTCCACGTGCACGTATATACATAAAAAATATGCAAATGTATAATATGCGTGCATATATGTACACATCCTTGCGTTATGCCAATCCCTCTGGATACGTATGTATGTACATATATATATATATATACATGAACATACAGATGTACATGTATATGAAACGGTACTATGTGCATGTGTATATGTACGTGTTTGCCTATGTGTATGCATATATGACCCTAGCTGCGCATGTATTAAATTATGAAAATGCATATTTGTATAACAGGCCTGCCTGACTTCCTGGAAGTCTGTCTGAGTTTGTATGTACGTATGAACGACTATATGCATTCACACAATGTGCACGTTTGTGTGTGGGTGCCTGCGTAAGCAGCTCTGTGGGTGTGTGCTTTTGTATGCGGGCTTATGTTGTGCATGTTTGTCTGTCTGTGCGTGTGTCTCTGCGTGTGTGTGTGTGTGTGTTTCTGTGTCTGTGTCTGTGTGTGGTTGCCTGTACGTGTCGGTATGTGTCTCTGTGTGTGTGTGTGTGCTTGGGTGCGCGTGGACGTGTGTGTGTGTGTGTCTGTGTGCGTGTGTGTGTGTGTGTGTGCGTGTGTGTGTGTGGGCGGGTGTGGGTGTGTGTGTGTGTGTGCGCGCGGGTGGGTGTGGTGTCCCGGTGGGTGCTGGGGTGTCGGTATGGATGTGGGTGTCGGGGTGGGTGCGTGTGCGGGTGTGGGTGTGGGTGCGTGTGTCCGTGTGTCTATGACTCGTCTATGACAGCTTGTACAGGGAATCTTTCATGTTGGATGGTACCACAGACGGGCTTGGTGAACCCGTACATCTAAAATCAATGTTAGTTTTCGTCTTGGTAGGTATCGGACTTAGTCCGGACAGCGGTACTACTAAGCTTAGACGTGTCTCAGCGGTTCGAGTTTCTGAGAGGCACGTGTGTCGTCTGTGAGTATGGTCGTCGGACTAAGATCTCAGTGTGATTGCCAGGGGTAAAGATACTTTCGCTGCGTCGCAGAATCAGCTGTGGGTATGCAGATCGACATGTTATTACCAAATGTTAGCACCGGGATGCTAAAGAGAATCATGATTGGCATGACCAAACGCACAACTTGCAGCACTCTCCCTTCAACTGCAAGCCAACGCCTGTTCTGAGAAAACACAGCCGGGCTTCAGCGTCGCCACCGGGTCGGCAGAGATCAGCTGCGGACAGCAGCGCATGTCCAGACCAAGCCGGGTGATCTCTTTGCTGAGAACATAATGATCGAAACGGTCACCGTTGTGTGCAATAAGCACCACCTTGCCTGTGAAGCCGGCAGCCCGCCGCAAGAAGGGCACCACGTGGCTGGGCCATAGCTGCGCGAAAAGCGGCAGCCCTTGATCACAAACAAGAGCTTTGTGGCCGCTGTGTTCGGCAAAGAGCCTTGTGGCCGCCGACTTCACATCGTCCCAGGAAAACTCTGGTCGGCTCCTCAGAAGAAGCGACTCGCCCGTGACGAGGTTCACTGCTCCCAGCTCGATGATCTGGCACCTTGCCTTCCATGACAACTGGTCCGAGGTTTCATGCCAGTTCATGGCCGCGTAGCTGCCATGGATGTGATCATGGATACACTCCAGGTCCAACGCCACCAGGCCGAAACCCAACTCGGGAGAGGGCTCTTGAATCCGCGGAGGCAGAGGCGGCTGCTGCAGCGCTGGGTTCGTAGGAGACCACATGGGCAGAAAGGGCACCTGCTGGGAAGGCACCCAGCAGGGGAGATCTTGTGATCCCGTTGATTTGCGGAACACTGTCCGATCGAGCACTTGCAGTTGCTTCGATTTTTAACTTCGCTGTGATGAACGTAAGCTCTTTGCTGTGATGAAGGTAAGCTTGAACAGCTGCGGCAAGCCAACAACAAATCCACAATCCAAGCGCAATGGCACCAGGCTAAGGGCACCGGCAAAACGACAGTAGGCAGGCGCTCGGCGCTCTCTTAATCTAGTTACATGGGCCCAAACAAACTCAAGTGAGTGATGTGCCCAAGATGCTCAACCCTTCCTCGAGGCTCCAAGGCCCCACCCTGTAAACTCCGGACATCTCGACCTTGATGCAGAGACTGTCGGGGCTCCAAAGAGCACATGTGCAATACGAGTCTACAATCTACAATCTCGAAGGTTGAATCTGGGACTCTAACAACTCTCCATGTCCGGAGGCCTCAAACTCCGAACTGCGAGCCACGAACCAAAAAACTCTAGGGCCATCTAGGTCCAGAAAATCCGAATCCCGGAGCCAAGAGGACAACACCCTTTGCGACTCCTCGGCGAAAGCTCAATGCCACGGCCCCACCGCACATGCGAGAAACCTCGCGTTGCCGGGTGGGCGAGAATCAGGCTTCTTGCTTTCGCGAGGAAATGGCACAAGTGTGCCTTCGGTGCACATGATTTCGGACGGCTCCCTGGTGCTCCTTGTGCACAAACAGGACCGGTGCAACAATGTCAGTTCATGGACGGCCACAAGCGGACGGAGTAGATTGCTCCAGTGTTGGGTTGCGGAGTATTGCTGCATGTAAGACATATGTAGACATATAGTATAAATGTATGTGTATATATATATATATGTATATATATATATATATACATGTGTATATATATATATATATTAAACTGATAAACATGTATACATATCGAAAAATATGAACCCTATTTCAGGAGAGCCTCGTCAAGTCCTGCTCCATAAGCTTCCCTGGAAAGCTCCAAACACGGCGATACATCTCAGACAGTGTCCCGAAGACCTAAATCAAGCCAGTTTCAGTCCAAGTGGACCTGCGATGCCCGCCCATAGCAACTATCCCATTACCATTGCAAGACGAGGCAAAGCATCTTGCCAATGGCATCTCTGTTTTCTGGGCTCCAATATTCAACCCCGAAGACCCCCTGCCCTGAGCCCCCTGCGAGAGGAGGCAAGCAACTGTCTCGTCAAGCCGCACTCGCTCTTGGACATAAAATTCCAGGCCGCGGGTGCGCAGTTGGCATGCATGCATGCCGCATGGCTACCACTGCAGTCCTGCGTTCGGATTACGAAGCTTCGGTACAATCTCGAAGTAGGAGAGGGCATTGAACGCGCTGATCGACCTCTCTGCTCAGCCAACAGCTACCACCATTACCGCAGTGCTCAACAGCACCGCTTCGGCTCACCCTGAACCTCTTCAAATTCGACTGTTGTGGCTCCCATAAGCAATGAAACTCGAGTATGCAATGACCCCAGTGTGCCCATGGGTTAAAGCTGCCATCATTCAATCAGAATCGACATCCATAGATGCAGACGCGATACAAACAAAGGTGCAGTGCGCAACCGTGGCATCAGTTGACTATCAGACTCAACTCAATGTGACGGCTTAGGTTTGGCGCTCCTCCTGCGATGTTTCCTACAGCCACGTCTTACCTACAGTAGTGCTATGGTGTCACGACGTTCACTTTCAAGGGTTCTCGGTATGGGCTGAGCTCTACGACGTTGCTTCAGTCAAACAAACTATCCAGAAGACCTCACAGAAGACCGAACAACCGATTCCCGGCATCTGCACTCGCTTCAACCTGAAGATGTGGACACAGGCTAAGCTCCGAGGGCACTGGTCCAGCGAATCGCAGGAAAGGCAGCATGTGCCGAGCTGCCAGCATGCACAGGGTGGGAAAGGGCTCATGATGTCGGGCCTATGGAACTGAAGGCTGAAACATGTCGGGAGTGGCACTTCGAAGATTCAAAAGGCTAGGAAGGGCTCTGTGACTCTGTGGTTTGAACTTCATCACTTCCTTTCCGAACTCTAGGCCGACACACATTCAATCGACTGCACTGAGACTGCCCGACTGCCTTTCCGCGGCCACGCAAAGGGTCGAGGCCATCGCTCCGCCTGGCTGCTAGCATCGCAAACGAATGATTTTTGAGGGCTTCGGAATAAAGGATTTTCGGGAACTGAGTTGGTGATGTAGAGCTTCAATACTATCTAATTCTACACACCTCTACAAGGCTAACAGCACATTGTAAGTAGCCATCGTCATGATAACAGCAGGTGTGAACGTGGAGTCGAACCGAAGCCAACCGGGCTGAACATAACAAGCTATATAAGGAGATGTTTCGGGTCGTAAACGAAGCACCGGTGTGCTGTGACTTACATGTAAATTTATATATATATATATATACATACATACATACATACATACATACATACATGTATACCTACGTGCATACATGCATGCATGCATGCATGCATGCATACATACACAGTCCCACATACACACACGTGTTTATATATATATATATATATGTTATCTGTGTACCTGTATACTAGTGTAGGACAACGGGCCAAACCACGGAGAAAACTGTATGATTGGAAATGACCCAAGATTCAACCAAGAACTTCAGAAGCCGTAAGCGCCCGGACTGGCGACCACTGACTTTGTAGGTTGCGACTGCGATCGGCATTACACGTCTATCCAGGCTGGCACTGTGTGTCGTAAACCCTGCATTCCAAACCTCGAGCCCTAAGCTCCTAAAGCCCGAAACCCTGCTTGAAACAAGCAAAAACCGAAAAAAAACAATGCTGATGTCGCTGGTAACAAAAGCCCGGAACTCGGCAACCCAGAGGCCGGAATCCTGGCCTGGATGAGAGCAGTCACCAGGTATCCTGAGCAAAATACCATATGACATAGTAGAATATAATATAATCCATCATATATAGTATAAACTTATTGTGGCGTATTGCTGCTTTTATACTCTGTAATGTAAGATCCTGCCGCCCTAAAACCCTGAAAAACCCGTAGGCCCTCAAACCACCAAAGCCTGAACCCTAACCCCGCAGACCCTACCAGTAACACCCCAAAGCCGAAACGACACCAGTTGCTTGAAGGCGAAAAGTTTTGCAGCTCTTGTCACATGTGTAAGAATTTCGTCAATGCCTGTAGAATCTGTATGAAAGACATTGCACCAGTAGATGTGTGGTTGATGTGGCAAATTCCCGCTTGTCCAACTACGCATCCACAGGATCCGGTTGCCATTAAAATTGCCGTATTGAAACCATTTCAACCCTGACTTGGTTTTGCTGAAACCCCAAACTTCCTGAAGGGCTGAACCGGGTCTTGCATATTTTAAACCCGACTGTTGTGCACCGGGTGGCCGCCTACGCAATTAGCACCAACAGAATTTCGGTTAGCAAAACAACAAAAAAACAATTACCATCAATCAGCACAGGCTCTCATAAGGTATTCGCAAAATACAATTAAGGCACCAATAATCTCGACACTGCTATGCTAACACAATCGAAAAATATATTATATTCATAACCTCAGTATGTGCCTGCGGTATCGAAACGACAAACGCTACAACTACCTCCGTTAGGCCTCGAATCATTGCAATCGTTCTTCAAACTGCGAGACCTCCGGTGCACACCGTTCTACGTGCGAAGCAACACGTATAACTCTTGTTGCGGTTGTGTTGAATAAGGTTTTCGACGCTTTGCTGTAATTCTTTCAGGTGGTTGTTGATTGTGTTTTGTTGTATTGGCTGATGTTGCGTCTTTTGCTGTTGCTTGCAAGTGCATTGTTTGTGATTGTTGTTCGTGTTTTTGGCGTGTTCGCACCTTTCTGAGCCTTCCTGATTGCATTTTAGCAAAGTTGGTGTTCATGTCATCGGCGAAACACAACTCGAACACCTCGGGCAAGCCTTTCGTGTTTGGACCTTTCCATATGCCAAAACAATGAAAGCAGTCCAAGTGGACAGACCTCTGCAGGCAATCCCCAACGACCCAGGCGTCATGTTCCATGTCCTCTTGGGCCCCGGACCATAGCCCAGCGCCGAGGCCAGAACAGAGGCGCCCGCGACGCCAGCCAGGCCATACCTGCGCAGGGCGTGAACAGCTGACTGCGGACTGAACCTTCCAGGCTGGAAAATCGACTTTCATGGTCTGCGGGTAACGGTTTCGTCTTCGGTAAATACATCCAGAACACGACAACTTTTTCGGGCTCGAACCGAAAGTTCTCAAAACCTGGATGCCATGACTGCCCTGATTTGAGGACCGATACCTTACAGAACCACATTGAACTAAGATTGCCCCGGCCGTCGGCGAATCGAGGGTCCAGTCTTCCTCGTAACGTATCGCAATGTGAAGCGGGAAACGTGGATTGTGACGTACTCGGGAAATACACGGGGAATGACAATGGCAGCCGGGGCACTTTGGGCACAGCAGCCAATCACCCACGACATTTGCCACCTTGCAGAGGCTTCGATGGAGGCTTCGGCTTCGGGCTGCTTACCGAGTGCTCCAACCTATCCCGCAGCAGCATGCAGGAAAACCACAGCCATTAAAGGCAAGTCGGACCTCTCTTGTCCAAGAAACTGCACTGCGAAGTCAAACATCGTGCGATGGCCCAAAAGGCAAGTGTGATTTCGACAACCCAAAACAAAAACGTTGCAGCACATGCGATACGATGCAACATTTGGCCCATGCCTCTTTCCACAGACTGTAGATCGTGTGCGATTCGTGTCGATGTATTGCACAGTCTACGGCAAATGCAGATCCTGTGTGGCGCTCGGCTTTTTCTTGTTTTGCTTTGGCGTCTGGGAGGTTACCTGACACGGCGAGGAACAGAGCTTAATGTATAAACTTCGGCTGTCGATCAATGGCGGGTAGAGCTCACAGGACTCACAGGCGTAAAAAATACAGACCTCACTTGCGCAGCATCACCTCGCGCCAGGACGTGCCTAAAACCTCGCTTGTCATGAAAGGGACGGCTTATAGGGAAAATGAAGTAGAAGCGGCGACGAATCAAATCAGAAGCATGAAAAAAGGCAAAAACTGGATCACCGTGCTAGATTTCAACATCAAACCCGAAACCACTCCCGATTTAAGTCGATCCGTGATCTGCGCATTCTGCAAAAGCTTAACTGTACTTTATAACTGACAACACTTGCTGAACATATCCTGCATTTCAAGTTCCCGTCAGACCCAAGAAAGATTATACGCATTCTGCGCGACCTCTTGCGACACGGAGTCTTGATTTATAAAAGCAGGACACCATGAGCCCCAAATCCACACATCTGAACACGAAGCCCGAAAGCTAGAACCGTGCTGAAACATATGAGACCCAAAGCAGAACGCGAAAACGCATCTCCGGGCTCTTTTGGCTTGAGTTTTTTGGACTTCGGGTCGTGGGGCCTTCCTGGTCTGTATGGAATCTGAACCCTGCCAGCTAAGCAGCTTCGGAATTCGTTCAATCCTTCGTTGTTTAGAACATCACCGTTTGTGCAAAGTCTATGCCCCGAACCCCAAGCCAAAAAAACCTCAATAAAAGGCGGCACGCTAACACCTTGCCCTCATATCCTCAACATCAGCAACGAAGCAAGCGCCCGGGGGCAGGGGTTGTGCCAAAGCTACCGGTCAAAAGATAGACAGGGCCTTCGTAGCCGTGCTGATTCACAGGCTTAGGATATGAGTAGTTCTCTAACTAGTGTCCCTTTTAGGGTCGTTATATAAGGGTGCCGTACTATGTTGGGGACCTAACAAAGGGACCCTACCCTACTTTAGAAAACCACCCAGCTGCGGCGCCGGGTTTGTTGAGCCCGGTGCTTCTTGGAGTCGATATAGGGCTTCTAAACCCCAAACCATATAAAACCCTAAACCCCAAACCCTTAACCCCAAACCCTATTAAACTCGAAGCGTTACAGGCTCTTGTGATTTGGGGGTTTTGGTCAGAAGAGCTTTGGCTTCGGCTGATAGGCAGCTCATCGGGAGCTTTCTGGGAGTGCAGAAACCCGAAACCGTGAAGCCTCGTCGGCTGCACTTAAGGAAAACCCACCCAAGATCAGCCAAACTGCACCTAGCCCCCTAATCTCAAACCCCCTAACCCCTAAGCACAAAAGCTTGTGGCGAACTCCTCTACTCCATAATCCGATACTCTTCCCGGGCTCTTCGGTAGAGATCCTTACGAGCATCCTGTCCGATTTTCACCACCCCCAGAAACCTGTTTTAGGGGGGGGGGGGGGCAACCAACCCTTTAAGTACCGTGTTATTGGCGTTTCTGGGAGAGGGTCCATGGAAAACACATGTACCGAGATCCCCGCTGAGCCCATACGAACAGCCGGACATGTACTTCGAACCCCCAGACATCCATGCAACAGCCCCCTCCAAGTACGTTAGGGTGGGGAGGGGTGGTCCGGTAATCTACCACCCGAAATTGCTATTCTTGCTGCTCCTAAACCCTATATACCCTACACCCTGAATTTCTTCTGGGCACCCGCACGAGGCCGACTAAAGTAACGAACAATGGCGTGGTGCCATCCTCAGGACGAGGCATTCAGGAATCCCAACCCTAAACCCTATTCAGGAATCCCAAACCCTCCTAAATGGCAATTTAGGGTTTAGCAGTTTAAATTTGGGCTTATGGGGTTTAGGGGTTGGTTTCTGGGGCTCATAGGGTTTCGTGGCTGGTTACGTTTCAAATCCTAAACGGTAGTTTAGGCCAGGGTCTGGGAGTTTCGGGCTTATGGGGTTTAGGGGTTACCTGTAGCCCTTAAAGCATCATTTATCGGGTGCAGGAGCTTATAGGGTTTGGGGGCTGGTTTGGGGATCTACAGGGATTCTAAAAGCGTTCTGACAATCAAACCCCAAACCGTCGAAGCCACATAAAGCTGAAATCCGCAACGGCCTAAACTTCCAATCCTTAAACTCTAAACCCGATGAACTCTAACGAAGCATGGCTTAGGCGTTTTGGAGATATCTGGGAAATCCGAGAGGCACTTCCGGCGAAGTTGCAGTACTGTAGGGAAGTACCCATACTATATGGAGGGGTCCTTAGTAGAGTTATATAGTATGGTATACCCCAAAACCCCAGTCTATTTGTTAAGGCCCCTACATTACGCTGAAGGTCCGAGGTCTAAGGGATTGGAGTTTGAGTCTGGGGTGTAGCGATCTGGATTTTGGCAGTCGGCCCTAACCCCCAGGTACCTACTATATAGGGCCTTAGGGGCTCTGGTACCCTATATAGTAGGTACCTGGGGGGTTAGGGGGGGGGGTTGAGGGATTTGAAAGATCTGCTGTTCTTCGGTAGACTTTGGTCTGCCTTTAAGCTACGTCTTCCGGGCGAGGGTCCGCTTGGGAGGCTTGAAGACCCAGGCTAGGGTAGGGAATCTACCCGCGGCCTGCAGCCCTCTTCAGTCAAACCCTAAACCCCAAACCCTAAAACCCTAAAACCCTAAACCCTCAACCCTTTAAACCCTAAACCCTAAACCCTAAACCGGTGGACGTCAATAAACTCCAGGCCAGCGAGGGTCTCTCCGAGTTCACACCGTAAGGCCCCATATTTCTATCCTTGTGCTGGGAGGTCCCCTTGAGGCCCTAAGTTCGTGAATGAAGTGCTGAGGCTTGGGGTTAAGGTTCACTATGGCTTTCGTGCTTGATGCAGCAAGTGGCTACAAGGTCTCCGCCAAAAACTGAAAGATTGTAGTGGAAGCAGATGATGGAGCGCAATACATTCGAAACTACACAAGGCATAAGAAAGGAAGCGTGTTTTGCGTGTTTATTGAGACGCTCCGTCTCAAAAGCCTGCGCACCCCAAACTGTAATCCCCAAGTTAACTTTGAAATTTGAAATTGCCACGCCTTCCCCGCCAAGCAGAAGGAGGTCGCAACGGAGGTGCCGCGCTCCACAGGTGTGCCGAGAGCCCGGATCTGGAGATAGGCGACCTTGCCAGGGCTTCTGGGTTAGCTATGGCTATAGAGTTTATACCCATAGGCCCCCATAGTAGTTCCTTTTTGGGGATTACCTTATAGGATTCTATATATGAACCCCAAAAAGGAACTACTTTAGGGCCTGTGGGTATAGGTTTGGGGTTAGTTAGGGTTCGGGGTTTTGGGTTTAGGGTTTTAGCCTCCAGGAGCACAACAAACATTCAACATCCGCCTGAGGATGTAGCGGCCTCAAACTTAGGATCATTGGCTTGCGCGGGAGTGAGTTGTGAGAAGTCCACCACAGATGCCTCAGACCCCTCCCAACATGTTACAATGTCTAGATGTTGAAGATCCCGGTAGCTGGATGTCAGCCCGGGAAGAATCCTCGACACAAGGAGCACACCCCTGAAAAGAGGCTGTCAAACGGCCATTGAGGGTCACGAGGAAGCAATGGCACTCTACGACTAGATTTGCAAAGGATACGCTTGCATCCATCTAGTGGTGGGACTTCCTTGGCTTGGCAGCGTCATGCAGCCGGACTCACAGAACACTTGCGCTGCACTCGGGGCAACATTCCTAGTCATTGAGAGCCTCCTTGGAAAGATCGTAAACAAAAACAGATGTCCGAAGCTCCTTGGACCTCTTCCGACTCGTGCCTTGGGACAAAAAAAGCCGCTTCCCGGTCCTAATCTTCAAAGGACGGCCTGAAAAGCGTGCTTCGCATGAACGTCCCAGAAGACTTAACGGCTCCAAACTGAGCTGCCACGCTGAGAAGGGAAGCATCGCCTAAGCTCCACTCATCAGAGGATTTTCGAAGCCAATCCTTCCATGCCATGTGGCTTACTGACAGCACTCCAGCAATGTCTGAAAAAAAACTTCGCAGGCAAGTGACAGAGTTGGCGCCAAGCAAGCGAGTGAGCGGAGTCGCAAAAACGCAAAGAAAGCCGCCTCAGCTTGCAAAAAGCATCGAGACGAACGCCTAAACTCTGAAGCAACCAAGGCCTTCTGTGGAAACAGCACTATCCTACTTGCCAAGCACGACTTTGGGAGGAAACCTCTCTCCTGAAACTTGCGACATGTGTTGAGTACACATCCCAATACTCAGAAGTTTCACCACCTGGCCTGAAACTTAAAATCGCTTCGGAGATTGGGTGTGCTTAAGGAATCGAATCTGGGGTTTCGAGTTTAAAACTTAGGGTGTAGGGCTTGAGGATCAGGTCAGGCAGCTAAGCCCTGAAACCAAAACAAAACCCCGAAACCCGAAACCCTAAACGCCAAACCCCAAACCCCAAACCCTAAACCCTAAACCACAAACCCTAAACCCTAAACCCCAAGCCCTAAACCCAACCAACAGCAGCCAAGCAGCCCAGCAGGATGCCTCGCAAGTGTCAACAACAGATCTAAGGCTCGAAGTACCCAAATAGTGGGCTTATAGGGCTTAGGTTTAGGGTTCAGGGCTTCGGG